AAAGAAGGATACAGCCCATCTTTAAATCGGCTCGTATTGAACGCATGTGATCTGTCCGTAGCCTAACTGCCCCCCAGAAACAAAAGTGATCTCCTCTGGAGACAGCAGCATCAACAGAGGCTCAAACAATCTGACAAATTTTCATGAAGTCCGTCATTCAGTCAAAAATTACTAGGGGTACTAGAAGACAAGACCAAAGGACCAATAGGAAAAAACCAACAAGAGAAGCAGATACACGGGGCCTTTAGATATTAGAATTGTCAAACTGGAATTTAAAGTAATGCTGATTAGCTTGCTCAAGAAAACAGAGGACAAATGGAGAATTTCAGTGTCAAGCTGGATTTTTTAAATGGAATCAAACAGAAATTCTGGAAATGAACATAATAGCTGAAATTAAGAACTAAGTAGATTAGCTAAACAACATATTAGACAAAACCAGAGAGAACATTAGCGAAGGGAGACGAGGAAATGTCAGGCTTGAGCACAGAGATGGGAAAGAAAAGAGGGAAGAAAGTGCAGTAATAAGCACATCCTAACGTTGTAAATAATTATGAATATAAATGGTTGAAATCATAGAAGGTGAGTAAAATAGGGGTTGTAAAATATTTGAAGGTATAATAGACAAGAACTTTAAAGTGATTCGAAAGACATTAACCCATAGATGTGAAAACCATTTAAGAATCTTTAGCAAGGTGAATACAAAGGAAACCACACCTGGGCATATTGGGGCTGAAATTCAAAGACAGAGAAAAATTTTAAAACAGCTGGGGTGGGTTGCCGGGGTGGGGGGGCGAGGAATATTACCTTTAAAGAAGCAACAGTAACATTTACAGATGACTTCTCAGTGGAAATGATGGAAGCAGAGGACGATGGAATGATATATTTACTGTCTGAAAGAAAAGAAGCATCAAACTAGAATTCTACACCTGGGAAGAAGAGCCTTAAAAATGATGACAGAAAATGATGTTCTCTGGACACTGAGAGAATGTGTCACCAGCAGTATCTGCACTAAAGAAAATTAAAAGATAATTAGGCAGAATGAAAATGATCACAGATGGAAGCGAGAAGTTGATAAGGAAATGAAGTGTAACAAAAGGAGGACACACATGGGAAAATCTAAATGAATATTTACTGTATAAGATATCTTAGAAGTTGTAAAATATTTATAGAAATAAAGTACATGGCAAGAAGATCACAAAATTCCGGAGGGGGCTACATGAAGTTAAAGTGGTCTTAGTACACTGCACTGTCTGGGAAATAATTTAAGATTGAATTTATATTAGACTTTAAAAAGCCATAGATTCATGTTGTAATCTCCACCAGAGTAATAAAAGAATACACAAATCAGGAGGAAGAAGATGAGTATAGTGGTTGAATCATGCCTCCCCAAAAGTCATATCCACCCAGAAAGGAATAGCTCTTTTCCTGGCCATTCTCCCGGCCTGTGGCTGGCCCATTCCCAGTAGGGCCATCATGTCTCCAGGTCACACCCATGTGGCCTCCTGGGCAGCACATAGCATTCCTCAGTTGCTCTCACTAGAAGCCAATACTTCAGGTCCCCACTTCCTAAGGTCTGGAAAATTATAACAGCCTAATCAAACAAGCTGAGAGATTTAAGACTGGTATTATTTCTCTCCCAGTTGTTTGGGAACATTAGGCAGTGAAAGTATTTGGGTCTGTAGGTGGCTCTGTAGGAAAGCTTTTAATTTTAGATTCAAGTTATTTAATCAATATGAGAGGTTTGTATTTTTTTCCTTTGGTGTGGATTTGGTGTCTTGACAAATATAGACAGTTGTGTCTCCACCAACAAATGTATTATTTGTACCCAACAAAGTAGATACCAAGATGTAATGGAAAAACTCCTATAAACACACAAACTACCAACATGGCTACCTTTGCTGTTGATCTTTCTTCATTCATATTCCTTCAGGTTACTATCTAGTGTCCTTTTATTTCAGTCTGAATTAGCATTTCTTGTAGGTAAATCTTTCAGCAATGAGCTCTCTCGGTTTTATTTACCTTAAAATGTGTTACTTCTTCACTTTTGAAGGATAATCTTGCCAGAGGCAGATGTCATTTTTCTTGCTGGGTGCTCCCTGCCCCTGGACCCCACCCAGCACGTTACATATGTGATCCCAATGCCTTCTGGCCTCCATGGTTTCTGATGAGAAATCTGCTGTTGGTCTTCTGTCCAGCTGCTTTCTAGATTTTCTCTCTGTTTTGACTTTTGAGAGTTTGATTATATTATACTATGTTTTTGTGTGAATCTCTTTGAGTTAGATTGATGTGTTTCCTCAGTTTTGGAAGTTTGGGCCATTATTTCTTTAACTACATTTTTCTGCTCCCTCTGTCTCCCCTTCATTGGGAAATTCTGCTAAGTATGTTGGTATGCTTGATGGAGTCCCACAGGTCTTTTCAGATTTGTTCATTTTTCTGCATTCTCTCACCTACTTCTCATTTTCTTATCTACTCCTCAGACTAGATTACTTTAATGGATCTCTCTTTGCAGTCACTAATTCTTACAGCTGCTAAAATCTGCTGTTGCAACCATATCATGAATTATTTATTTTGGTGATTGTACTTTCCAATTCCAGAACGTCTATTTAATTTATTTTTAAAATTCCTCCTCTTTACTGATATTCTCTATTTGGTGAGGCATCATTCTCCTGGTTTACTTTAATTCTTTGGGATTTTATTTAGTTTTTTAAACATGTTTAAGAGAGTTGATTGAAAGGCTTTGTCTAGTAAGTCCAATTCTGGGCTTCCTCAGGAAGATTTTCTATTACCTGCTTTCCCCTCATGAGTAGCGCATATTTCTTGCTGCTTTGCATGGCACATGCCTCTGCTGAGAACTGGACGGTGACTGTGACAGTGGGAGATTTCTGGGTATCAGGTTTTCCTCCCTCTGCACAGTTTGCTGTTGCTGATTGCTGTAGATTGTGGTTGTTTTTGTTTGTTTATGCCACTTTAAAAAAATAGTTTCCTTATCATGTGTGCTCGTGTTCTATTAGCTTACTGCTCAGATAGTAATTTGACAGAGAGTTCCCTAAACCCCTGGAATGAAGAAATATTTTTCTGCAGGGTTTGTAACTGGGCTGTGTATGTTGGTCCACACCCTCAGCACTCAGCTGGGGAGTTTGTGACTCTGCCTTCCCCTTCACTTCCTGCTTGCTCCTTCACTTCCTGTTGCACATTCACTTCCTGCTTGCCCAGAGCCTGAAATTCAGCCAGAGGTGAGAACTGAGAGCTGCTCGGTTTTTCTGAGCTTCTGCCCCATCATGGACATGCACAGGGGCTTCTGGACTTCCAAGAATATGTGGAATCTCCCAACACCCTTATTCCTCAAAGCATGCCATCTCCCAGCTTTTCCTCCCAGACTTTTTGGGCATGTCCATTGTTTTCCCAACTGAGAATTTTTGACCTAGGTGTTAGTGACTTGTTCATTTATCTTTAAACGTTCAGACACACACCCTCCATGTAGCTGCTTCTCTGCCTTGAGAGAGTCTGAGTTGGTGAAATAAGGCAAGCCCTGTGTGTTAGCCCTTCAGGGAGCTGCCAGGTGGGTTGAAATGAACAACTGCACTGCCTTGCAAACAAGGTCCCCTCTGCTTCCCTGGCAGCAGCACACCACACCAGGAACTCCAGCTGCCGTCTTCCTGACTGTCACCCTGCTGGGGATGGGGGATGGGGCAAGGGGAAGTTAAAATCTACAAGCCTCTCCTATTGGATTCTGTTGCTTTTAGTTGATTATGTGTTCCCTTGCTTGCTGCAAACCTTCGACTATTTTCCATAGCTCAGTTAAAGCTGATTTTACCAGGTAGTGTTTGTTTTGTTTGTGTATTACTTCTTTTTCACACTGCTATAAAGATACTATCCAAGACTGGGTAACTAATAAAGGAGAGAGCTTTGTTTGACTCACAGTTCCACATGGCTGAGGAGGACTTAGGAAACTTTCAATCATGGTGGAAGGCAAGGAGGAAGCACGTGTTTGAAAGCACGTCTGGCTACCTCTAGACCTGTGTGTCCACGTGTTTCTCTCACCCTCTGGTCTGCATGTGCTCCCACGTGGTTCCAGCTTCCTCTTCCATTGGGGTCTTCCTGTTCCCACCCACCCTCTACCCACCCAGCCCAGCACAAGGCGCTCCGGAGAGCGCTGCCTCATTTGGCAGGCTGTGCAGGCTGGGCTTTCTTCCGCAGCCTGCGCACCTGCGCTCCTGTGTGTGCCTGGCTCCAGTGAGCACACAGCATTCGTCCAGGGCCCCCTGCTGCAGCGCTGGCTCCATTCACGTCCATTCCCTCGTGGATGGATATTTTGGTTGTCTCATGGTAACAGACAGTGCCGCTTATGTACATGTGCCGGGGATTTTCCAGAACTGCAGGGTGGGCTCACCCAGGCGGGACAGTGGGTGCAACAGTCCTGGGGCCTAGAGAGCTCCACAGCCAGGGCATGGCAGCAAATGACCAGGCTCAGGAAGTCTTGGGCATTGGGACTGAGTGGGGACTAAGCCTTCCTGGGCATGGCCGTGAGTTCCACCTGGCGACCCCCTGGAGGAGTTAGGCCATTGTCCCCTGTGACTTCTAGGTTAAGTCACTCATTCCTAGAAACAGTCATGGCTGGAGGAGACCGATGTCAGCTCAAACCATGTGTCCCCCCCACCAGGAGCACACAGGAGAAGAGAATCAGGTGACCAAGGAGAGTTTATTGGGAGCAGGAGGAGGTGCTGACAGGCTCAAGTTGAGGCCAAATGACCTGGGGCAGAGAAGCTGGGAGGGAGGACGGGGCCCAGCAGGCAGGTGGGCACATGCTGGGAGGCAGCAGCTGGGGAGAAGCAAGGATGGGGGCTCCTGGGAGCAAGGAGGGTGGTCACCTCAGCACAGTGGAGACATGGGGACCCTGTCCCCAGGTGGGGGCAGCCACCTAAGCCAGATCAGGACCTGAGCATGGCTGGCCCTGGGGGAAGTGCCTGGCAGCAGCTGGACTCCAGGCCTGAGCAGAGGCCTCAACAGGCTGGGAGGGAGCACACGGGGCGGCAGAGGAGGGACATGCAGGAGGCCGGACGGCAGCAGCTGAACTGGCAGGAGGTGGGGGCACAGCAGGAGGGGACAGGCATGCAGCAGGCAGTCCTGCACATGGGGCGGCAGAGCAGGGACACGGAGGAGGAGGGTCTGCAGCAGGAGGTGGTGCAGCAAGCCGGCTGGCAGCTAGACTGCTGGCAGCATGAAGAGGAAGCCCCAGAGCAGACAGGCACACAGTAGACGGGCTTGCAGCAGATGGGCACACAGCAGGACTGCTGGCATGGGGAGGAAGTGCAGCAAGCCAGCTGGCAGCTAGACTGCTGGCAGCATGAAGAGGAAGAGTCAGAGCAGACAGGCACACAGCCAACAGACTTGCAGCAGATGAGCTTGCAGCAGACAGGCTTGCAGCAGACGGGCACACAGCAGGCCTGCTGACAGGGGGAGGAGGTGCAGCAAGCTGGCTGGCAGCTAGACTGCCGGCAGCATGAAGTGGAAGTCCCAGAGCAGACAGGCACGTAGCAGCCAGGCTTGCAGCAGATGGGCATGCAGCAGGCCTGCTGACAGGGGGAGGAGGTGCAGCAAGCCTGCTGGCAGCTAGACTGCTGGCAGCATGAGGGTGTGCAGGAGCTGGTGCAGCCTGACTGGCAGGGGCTGAGCTCACAGCTCACTGGGGCACAGACCAGGGCCAGGCGGGAGGCTGGGGCACAGCAGCTGGGGGTACAGCAGCTGGAGGTGCAGCAGGGGGGCTCGCAGCAGCTTTCCTGGCAGTTGTCCACCTGCCATGAGGAGCCGGTGCAAGTGCTGGGGGAGGAGACTCGGCTGACACAGCTCAGGTCATTGGAGCAGACAGACGTGGTGGATGCAGAAATCACATACGTCCTGGTGCAGCAGGTGTCAGCCATGGTGGGTGCTGGGCTGGGCAGTGTGAGTGTTGGTGTGAGGTGTGTGGGTTTGTGTGCCCTGGCTGCTGAGGTTTTATACTCTCCCTTGGTATTTTCCTCACAGGTGTCTCACAAGCCTTCCCTTTCCTTGTTGTGGCTGAGACTTTGCATCCAAACAACCCTAATTAGTTTGCCTGCTGTGGGATGTTATTGTGGTCCCAGGTGTGCTTGAGTGATGCTGGCCACTTGCTGGTGCCTGTGCCCTGCAAACACACACAGCAATGCTGCATGTCGGCTGGTGGAGCTGGGAGTTGAACAGATCATGAGTTGGTGACTCTGGAAAATGCAGCCCCACTTTCCTCCTCTCTTTTCCTGTGTTTGCTACTGGGATGTTTGGTACCAGGGGCAGGGTGTTTTGTACCAGCAGATTCTCTCTACCTGTCCCAGAGCCCTGCTCCACTGAACAATGGGTGTCTTGGGCGAGAATGCCCCCAGCTCCCTACTCTGCCACCCCTTCCTGCTCCATCTGCAGACTCTGGTGGGATGCCCCTGCGTTAGTCCATTTTCACACTGCTGGTAAAGGCATACCCGAGACTGGGAAGAAAAAGGGTTTTACTTGGACTTACAGTTCCACATGGCTGGGAAAGCCTCAGAATCTTGGTGGGAGGCGAGGGGCACTTCTTACACGGTGGCAGCAAGAGAAAATGAGGGAGAAGCAAAAGCAGAAACCCCTGATAAACCCATCAGATCTTGTGAGACTTATTCACTATCACAAGGATGGCATGGGAAAGAGCATCCCCCATGATTCGGTTACCTGTCCCTAGGCCCCTCCCACAACAGCTGGGAATTCTGGGAGATGCAATTGAAGTTGAGATTTGGGTGGGGACACAGCCAAATCATATCATTCTGCTCCTGGCCCCTCCAATATCATGTTATCTCATTTCAAAACAAATCATGTCTTCCCAACAGTCTCCCAATGTCGTAACTCATTTTAGTATTAACCCAAAAGTCCACAGTCCAAAGTCTCATCTGAGTCAAGGCAAGTCCCTTCCACCTATGAACCTGTATAATCAAAAACAAGCTAGTTTCTTCTTAGATACAATGCGGGTACAGGTATTGGGTAAATACAGCCATTCCAAATGGCAGACATTGGCCAAAATCAAAGGGGTTACAGGGTCCATATAAGTCCAAAATCCCCCAGGACAGTCAAGTTTTAAAGCTTCAAAATGATCTCTTTTGACTCCAGATGTCACATCCAGGTCATGCTGATGCAGCAGGTGGGTTCCCATGGCCTTTGCAGCTCTGCCCCTGTGGCTTTGCAGGGTACAGCCTCCCTCCCGGCTGCTATCACAGGCTGGTTTTGCGTGTCTGTGGTTTTTCAAGGCACACAGTGCAAGGTGTCAGTACACAGCTCCACTAGGAAGTGCCCCAGTAGGGACTCTGTGGGGGGGCTCCAACCCCACATTTCCCTTTTGCACTGCCCTAGCAGAGGTTCTCCATGAAGGCCCCACTCCTGCAGCAAACTTTTGCCTGAGCATTCAGGCGTTTCCATACATCTTCTGAAATCTAGGCAGAGGTTCCCAAACCTCAGTTCTTGACACAACATGGAAGCTGCCAAGGCATGGGGCTTGCACCCTCTGAAGCCACAGTCTGACCTATATGTTGGCCCTTTTCAACCACAGCTGGAGCGGCTGGGACACAGGGCACCAATTCCCAGGTGGCACACAGCATGGGGATCCTGGGCCCGTGAAACCACTTTTTCCTCCTAGGCCTCTGGGCCTGTGATGCGAGGGACTGCCATGACTGTCTCTGACATGGCGTGGAGACATTTTCCCCATGGTCTTGGGGATTAACATTAGGCTCCTTGCTACTTAAGCAAATTTCTCCATCCAGTTTGAATTTGTCCCTAGAAAATGAGTTTTTATTTTCTATCACATAGTCAGGCTGCAAATTTTCCAAACCTTTGTGGTCTGCTTCCCTTATAAAACTGAATGCCTTTAATACGCCCCTCTCCCTGGCAATGGAACAGATTGTGCATCCCTCCCAAGGTCCATGATCTTCTTTGTTCTCCTGTTTATCTCACAATTATTAAACAACACATATGCTCTGTTATTTCTTGCATTTTCAGTTTCAGATATTTGATTTCCTATTGTGGAGGAAAGTACTTTCTCTTGTTTATCACCACCTCCATGAAAAGTTCCCCTCTTCCCATCCTCAGAAGGCAAAGGCAGTAAAATATCAATATTTGGTTACATCAGTGTTCAGAATGTGTATTATAATAAAGTAAATATTGTTCATAGCCAAGTCTGAATAGTGGAATCAGATTTAATTTTCTTATTTGTACATGTTTTGTTTTTGTTTATGTTTTTTTCCCCTTAGAGTTAACAATTGCTCCTCCCCAAACTCTGACTCATTCATCTCCATGCTCCACTCAAGAGGTTCAAACATAACAATCTATTAGCTTCATTGATTTTTTGGAACAATTTCTCTTTGAGCTCTCTCATTTGTGGGCCAGTCTCTATTGGCTGCTCCCTCAGCCTGGCACACAGGTTTCCTGGGATCTCCCTTCACTCTTGTCTTTGGATTTTCATTCATCTCTCTCTGATGATGGATCTGTTACTTCCTGGATGCCTTGTCTTTTTCTTTCTAGATTTATGGCCTTGTTTTGGTGGAGCACATTCTCCAGTAACTTTCTGAAAATGGGTGCAAGGAATATATATTTTTAAGCCATAGCAGGACTAAAAATGCCTTTATTCTGCTCTTCTATTTGATTGACAGTTTAGCTGGATATAATCTTCTGAGTGAATATTTTGTGGAAGATATGGAGCATTTCCAGAATCCTAAATGATCCCTTGTGCTGTCTCTCTTTTTAGCCCCTCATCCCTAAGCATTAGCTGCTGTTCCACCTTCTCTCCCCATTGGTAGCTTCGCCTGTTCTATGGAACTCTTTTGTTTCCAGTTCCTTTGGTTCAGCACAATGTCTGTGAGAAGCACCACATTGCTGCATGCATCAGTACTTCACTCTTTTATTTTGCTGCCCCATTGCATTAAATTCTACTATGTGCCATTCTCTTTCCCAGTGTTACAGATTTGGATTGTTTACAGATTTTGGCTGCTATTAATAGTGCTGCTAGAAAAATTCTTGTAAACTTTTTCATTGATATATTTACTAATTTCTCTTCATTGTGCCCTCAAAAGTGGAATTGCTGGGTCATAGATAGACATATGTTTAGTTTAGCATATACCTACAACTTTTTAAAGAAATGTACATTCCCACTAGTTGATTTTATAATTCCATTTATTCTGATGAACAAAATGAGTTTTATCAGTCTTTTAAAATTTGTTTATTTTGGAAAGTGTGTAGGAATACTGCACTGTTGCACTAATGTGCATATCCCTGATGAGAAAAGCCACTCACTGAACTTTGGATATCTTTTCTTGTGAGGTACCTGTTGAAGGCATTTGCTTGCTTTTTAAAATATTGCTACTTGTGTTTCTTACTGATTTGCAGGAATTTATTATATATTCTGAGTATGAGTTGTTTTAGACATACAGTGTGTTGGTGAATGTTCAATAGCTGGCTTTTGTTTTTGTAATAAAAACAAAAACAAAAGTCATGATTGATTGCTTTTGCCAATGTCCACGTCTGAATGCTCCCAACAGAGCTAAATCCAAGCGACCTAGACGACATCATGTAACACAGATGAGAAGGGAGTGGTGCTTGCCAGCTCTCATGAGCCAGGGCATGCTGGCTTCAGTGCACCACTGGGTATGGGAATTGCAAATAACTCATCCAAGTCTGGGGTTTAAAAATAAAAGTTTTTAAAAACTCAATTTTATTGAAGTATGATTACATGCTATAAAATGTACCTATTTAAAGTTACCATTTGATGAGTTTTGAGAAAATATACACCCACATAACCACTACCACAAACAAGATCTGGATTTTCCATCAGTTCCCAGTAGTACTTTTCATGATCAATCCCCACCCCTCCTGACTCTGCCCCAGGAAACTACTGATCTCCTCTCTATCTCAAATAGGTTTGTCTTTCCTGAGATTTCATATAAATCAAATTCTATAGTACAATTGACCCTTTGACAATGTCCAGTTTGAGCTGTGTGGGTCCACCTATACGTAGATTTTTTCAATAGATATATTGAAAATTTTGAGGAGATCTGTGACCGTTTGAAAAACAGGCAAACCATATAGCCTAGAAATATTTTTAAAAAATAAGAAAAAGATATGTCATGAATGCATAAAATATATGAAGATGCTAGTCTATGCTATCGTTTACTACCATAAAATACACACAAATCTTTTATAAAAAGTTAAAATTTATCAAAACTTACATACACACGCACTTACAGACAATGCATAGCGTCACTGGCAGCCAACAGCAACGTAAACTGATGTAGAGGTGCAGTATGAAACCGTAGCTGCATTCCAGGTGACCCTAGTCCATGCTGTGCGACTGGAATGTTTCTGCAGCCGCCTCCTGCTGCCATTGAGCTCAAGTGTTTTGCGTGTCTGCTTCAGGTGCTGCCCTGTGTGATGCTGATCATCCCCAAGGAGCAGCTCACCTCCCCAGCATATTTCACCTCACAGCAAAAAGTGATCTCTTGTGATTTACATGTATTTTCTGTCATGTTTAGTCCTTAAGTCACACCATGGGACTTGAGTCCCACTAGTGCTCTGCTCCCAAGAAGCAGAGAAAAGTCATGACAGCATAAGATAAAGTCCGAGTGCTTTATACGCACAGTAGACTGAGGTCTGCAGCTATGGTTGCCGCCATTTCAAGACACATGAATCCAGTGTAAGAACTATTGTAAAAAAAAGAAAAAGAAATCTGCGATGTCATCATTGTAGTTATACCAACAGGTGCAAAACCAGGCACTTTTTGTGAAACACATTTGATCTTGTAGTGAAAATGCAGCTTTTATGTGGGCGCAGGACTGCTATAAGAAAGGCATACCTATGGACTCCAGTATGATTCAGAAGAACGCAAAGTCATTGTGTGACAACTTAAAGCAAAAGGAAGGGGAAAGATCTAGAGCTGGAATTTAATGCCAGCAAAGGATGGTTTGATAATTTTAGAAAGAGCTTTGGCTTAAAAAGTGTCAAGATAACAGGAGAAGCAGCTTCTGCCAACCAAG